AAAAAAAAATCTGTTCCATACACCTTTTTCGCACTGCACGTTGGAATGAGGAACTTTATTACTAGATAGGAAAAAAAACAATGTCTAGTTGTGTTGACTGATACACCTGTTTTTCAGAGTAGTCTAGACTGAAACAAGCAATATGTCTGTTGCCTATGTATATTTTATTAAATGAACAGCGCAAGTACATGACTGATACACAAGTATTTCTAATAGACCGAATAAACCAGATTAAGTTAGTTACCACAGCTGCATTACCTCAAATGCAAGACATGCAAGGTTCTAAATCTAGTAAATGTGCAAAATATTTCATTTCAGCCATTAAGCCTACATTACAGTTAGCATATAAAAGCATCCAGCAGTAGAAGACATTGCATGAATTTCAAAATTAAGAGTTGTTTTAAAAGCGAATGGATTCCATCAATATTCTAGTAATAATAACTGAAAGAAAAAAACAACACTGTAAGCAGGAACAAACCTCAACAGAAAGATAAACATCAATTGATCAAAATCTACCATCACTACAGGAAATGCCAATGACTAGAAAAAATAACACCTAGAAACATTTAAGATATCATGGCAGGTTTTATGAGACTGATGCATGTTAATCTGTACACACATTCCCCCACTTCCCCTCTCTCCAGCAACAGCGCATGCAGCAGATGTGCGTTCCCAAATCCTTTGATACCTATATTTGGATTTAACAGGACATTTATTTTCAGTTGCTCTTATTAACTTAGCCAGCTACCCAGAGTTCAACTGTCTAGAAATTGTTATGCGTCTGGTAACCTGTCTTTTAGTATAAAGAAAAGCTCTGTAAAGGTTGAAGCCTACACAACAATAGAATTGCATTTTTCAGTAGAAAGGAATCCTCAAAACAAAACAAAAAAAAGATCTCCGCTCACTGGTAGCTTACTTTCAATGAACGCTATCCCCTTCTTTCTCAAGATGAATTGTTTATCCCATGGAACACTATTTACATTACCTTTCTTCTATTTCTTCCTTCCTTTAATAATTCTAGCATTCTGGAATCACGCTCCATTTCTAGGCAAGCACAACACATTTCTAATACCAATTTGGGTGAATAAGGATTCAAGAATAGTTCAACAGATAATGAAAAAATAGCATGCATCATCCCATTGCACAGAACTTTTTGCAAGATATACTCAACTGTATTTCCACAGCAAATAGAGCTTATCTTATGAAAGGAAGTCAGGGTGGACATGACAAAGCTAGCGCCTGAAACAAGAAATCTAGCTATTTCCTTTCTAGTTACCTTTTAACTTTGTGTTTTCTTATTACTGATACCAATTCCCAACATCAGATACTTGTTTTATTTTCATCATTTATTCTTCTTACCATTCATTCTATTAGGAGAAGTTTTAAAGCCAATTCTCTACACAGAGGAGAAAGATTCCTTTTGGTTACCAGATGCCTATAGTAAAGGTTTTAAAAAACTGCTTTCTTAAGATATGAATGCCTCAACTTTCTAACTGCTGCTAATATAAAATATATGTTATGAGGAGAAGACAAATAGCTTTCAAAGGGTTTTCTTGGGCAAAATATATATTGTTCCCCTGCCCAAAACTTTGAAAACTGTGCTCTGAAAAGCTGAGAAAGAAAATAGCTCAAGATGATTTAAGGGTAATGCTTCTCAGGCTGACAGGCCACGTGAAACCCAGAATAAAAGCCAAATCTCACCTATCCAAAAAACACTCACTGTAGGAATACCAGCCTTGAACATCAGAATGGATAATTCTAGGCCTACAAAAACCATTACAGTTAAAATTCTGAATAAGAGAGGAAAAACAAGAAAATGTTCCTAACATTTCAAAGACTGATCTATAGAACCTGAGTTTTATATTCCATTTCAGCTCTTAATCATTAGGTTAAAGAGAGAGAAGCATGAACATCAAAACTGAGGAAATAACGGTTAGCAGAAGCTGTGGAATATTATTTTCACTTTTAAAATATTTTTTAATAATAACAAGATGAAGGACTAGCTTTGTATCAACTTTAAAACAATGATCTTACTGTAGAGGTAAAAAGATTAGTCTTCTAAACATTATTTTCTCAAGTATAAACTGTGATCATAAAGGTGCTTCCCTGCTCTCACATCATGATTCATAACAGATTTCTAGTAATGACTGTGAAACCCTACTACTATTGACAGGTAAAACTAACTAGGTCTCAATTCACCCAAATCCTGTTGAGGATTCACAAATAACATAACACATTTCAGTCTCAGCTGTACTGGATCAGCAGCACTTCCAGGGAGAAGAAACAAGAATTATACCTTACGAAGGTGATTATGTGGACAGAAAGCAGAACTGTTGCATAAAGAAGCAAACTTGATCCATTTTCACTTTATAGACAGCTCAAGTCATTATACTGCTTCTCAGGCAATGATTTTCACAGCCTCTATTTTTCTAGGAAAAGTATCAGCAGAAGAATTTTCAGATGTGCTTCAAGTCTCCAAAAAAGGAATGGATATAGGCAGTGGCTGGGCAAGGTCGGAGGATCTAACTTGTAAATATTCAAATCTCCTATGAACAGCTCACTACAACCCTATTTTTAATTTGTGGCTCTAATGAAAGATATAAACTTTTATAAGCATCAACAAGGCTCAGAGAAGATCTAAATTCATTTCAGTGCTCATTTAGCAGCTTCAGCTGTGTGCAATTAAAACTTCAGCATTAAGTGTTAGAGAATAAAATGAGACACTTAAAAAATACTCTGTGCTTCAGTGGGCCATGCTTGGTAGAGATTTCATATGATCATTTACAAGATAAAAACAGAACCTGACCAAAAACCATAGCTGAAATTCAGAGTTACTGTAAGGTTGTCTTATATGCCAGCATCTTTTCAACAGAAAGATGGAAAGAATCAGCTACTAAACTTCTGAGGTCTTACTCTAATATGCACACATAATGCACCTTCTTTAAGCACATCCATGACTTAAGATCTCACAGCATTCATAGCTGCTCACAACCATCAGCTTAAAACTGACATTTTTATAAAAGATTAGTTTTTAGAATAATGAAAATCTTGGTCAAAGATCAATTTACGTTCGTTTTTACATTAGCATTTAAGCCAAAAGGAACGCTATCTTCAGGACAAGAAATGAAATCTCAAGAACAGTAGAAGGTTTTTTTTTTTTTTTAATTTATAAAAGAACATCTTAAACGATCCTATGACTACTTTTTGAGCTATCGAATTATGACCAGGGCAGAAAGAAAACAGTAAACAGTATATATGCTTTTCTGTC